AGTTCTGGCTGTCCCCCCTCCGCTGCTCACAGCGCCATATTTCCCCCGTTTTCTGGACTCCACCTGGGATGGTGTTCGTAATCAGTCTGTGTCGCTCACATGCTCTCCCTGCACGGCCTTACCCTCGCCTTCGCGCTCACGCTCGCCGGCCCCGCGACCGCCGACGCCCCGGGTCCGTCGTTGTCCCTCCCGGCCCTCGTCTCGTGCGGGCCCGACGCGGTCTACCTGTTTGGGAACACCGTAAATTCACACTTGCCCCCCACTGTGAAGCCCGCGGAAGCAACTGGTGAGGGAGAGAGGTCGGTTGTTACGGCTGGGGCCCGAGGGCGAAGGGGAGCCTGGGGGGGGGAGGTTTGGGGTGACGCAGGCGGGGATTTTCGGAAAGCACTCGCTGACCGTTGCTGACCTTTACCCAGACCTTTGGCGCTACGACACGGCAACCGCCAACTGGACTTTCATAAACCCAACCCAACCCGCGAGATATGGCAATTTGACGAACGCCCTCGGCGGCTCCCCACGCGCCGTCTGCACCAAGAACACCATTTACGCTACCCTCCCAGACAACACCCTCGCCCGATTCAACCTCGCAACAAACTCCTGGCATTCTGTGCCTCTACCCCCGCTGCCCCTCCTCCTGCCGGCTCCCGTCGCCTTCGGGTCGACCCTCGCAATGGTCGGCGGAATCAACGCGCCCGCTGGCGTGATGACAAGCTCCACCCTGGAGTTCAGCATAACGACGAGCGAGTGGACGCAGGGGCCACAGTACCCGCATGCTATTAATCGTGCTGGCGCGGTGTCTATTACCGGGAATGCGTATGTTTATGGGGGATTTGCTGGGTCGTTCTGGGGCGATTTGAACGTTTTGGCTCCGCCGTATGGGACGTGGAATACTTTGCTTGATCCAACGGCGGGGGAGGAGCCAACGCCGAGGGAAAACATGTGTTTCACAGCTTGGTGAGTTGGACTGCTCTTGTGCGGTACGGGAGGTGGAAGGGGAATGATTTCTTTTTGCGCCAACACTTCCCCCCTCTCTCCGTTGCACCCCATTCCAGGAATGACCTTCTGATTCTCTACGGCGGCCACGCGTACCTCCCCGGGACCCAAATCTATAACCCCGTCGTCCCCGCCTTTTATATCTTCAACACTACCGCCAATTCAGCATCTTGGACGCCTATACAGATCGCGACCCTCCCTGGCGCCAGAGCCCCGTCTTCCACCGATTCTCTCTCCTGCGTGATCGCTGGCTCCACTCTGCATGTTTGGAGTGACGGAGATAGGTCCCCAGCCGGAATACTGCATCTCTTGGATCTAGACCAGTGGGCGTGGTCGACGCGTCCAGCGAGCAACAAAATAGCAGCGCCGCCAGTGTCAGTAGTGCCACCAGCGCCAGCAGCACCACCAGCACCGGCAGTATCACAGACGCCAGCAGTGTCATCAGCGCCAGCGGCGCCATCGACGCTATCGGCGCCAGCGCAAGCAGCGGAAGGAGGGAGCGGCGGAGGCGTGAAGTCCATTGTTGCGATTGCCGTCGCTGCCGGGGCCTTCGTGGGCACTTCAGCCATCTTCGCGGCCATCGCATGGACCTGCCATCGCTCTCGGGCCCGGAAAGCTGGACTATGCCGCCCGCTCTCCATCTCGTCTCCGCCGCTACAGAATGCGACTTCCCTACTCGCACCACGCGCCGTCGCCACCCACCCTACGTGGCTGAGAAGCCCTCCGACCCCACCGGGGTACGATGATTTGGTCGCGATCGATCGGCTCCGGGTGGATGCTCGTGGCGCGCCCGAACGTCCAGGTTGCCTTGCCACCGTGTAAGACTGCAGACCATCGTCGAATTGAAGTCATTGCCTGGCCGAAAAAAGGATTGCATCTCCTCCCTACCCCCTGCCACCCCTATAGACCTCGCTGTTTCCTTGTCACCTCCCCCCCTACCCGCACATTAACCCACATATTCATGATGTTCGAAACGATGTCGATAACAGTAAAAAATGTACATTGATTGTTCCATTTACCTCATCGACGGGGCCGCGTGATTTCCCACTGTCAGACGACAAGTACCAGGAAAGATCATCCAATAAGTTAGGCAGTCTACATCGTTGCTCCCTCCAACCTCACATGCTCGTCCTGCGCGATCCGCAAGGTCCTTTCCGATACCAATTATTTCGATCCAGGACCCCCCTGCAGATATCTGAAGGCCCATGTCTGCGCCGTGTGCTCCGTAACCGTCATGGCCTTTATGATTGTCATGAAATCTGTGCCTGGACCGACGACCAATGCAGCAGCCTTTGGCCTCAATCCCCACCCCCACGACTTCCTGCCCAGTCTGTTCGTCTCTATGCCAACGGCTCCGGAGAATGGCAGGGAAGTCAGGCCGCCATCAAGCGAATCAAGGAGCATTTTGTCCTTTCCTTCATCGAGACAAATCCCCTCACCTTAAAATATGTAAAAAAAATGGACAGCTGATTGGAAACCTCATTTAGTACGCAGAATGGTCCTGGTCCCGACGCTATTCGTATGCATGGTCCGGGAATCGAACCCGGGTCTACCGCGAGCTGAGCTGGCAGGCGGTAATTATGCCACTAAACCAACCATGCTAATGATACGGTCAACTTTTATTTTTCAAGATACAAAGTAATGTTGCTCTCCGATGCACCCTCATTTGCCATCCTCCCGGCCCTGTGTCCAAACTTCTCGTGATGGGTGGTTCCAATGTGCCAGAAATTTATGGAAAACAGCTGCAGAAAGCAGAAACGATGTTGCAGCAGATGACGCGTCACTCGACCCGTTGGGGAAAGTTGGCAGAAACAAAGAGGACGAACCACTTTCTTGTCAATCGATTCCCGGACCATGCAAGGGCTGACAGGTGCTTGCTAACGCAGACCCGGGTT